GAAACTGAGTGTGACTGTGCTGAAAACAAAGTTGTTGAAGCAGTTCAAAACTAGGGTAAGAGCTGAATTTAGCTCTAGTCTCTGCTGGCTCAGTTCTTTTCTAAGTGCCTTTCAAGGTTGAATACCTTAAACAACGTGGCCTTGACCCTCACTTGAAGCTCCAGCTATTTAAACAGAAGTGCTGTTGTGCTGTCTTCAGGCTTGGTCTGATGTAAAGTAAGTGGTTTTTGAATGGGCAAGGTAGTAAAAAACAACACTCAAATAGCAGTGGATAATAAATTGAGAATGTGGGTATTTTTAGAATACAGAAGGAGTCTTTCTCTGCCTCATTTCACCTGTCCCTTAAGTGGTGATAATTTTACAGGTATAGGATATCTCATCTCCTTCCATGCTGTTGGATGTTTGTTTCAGCAACATTACTTTTCCTCAATTCAGCTCCCACTCTTTGTAAGAGCTCCAGCACTGGAGGATCCCAGCCTGGGTTCACAGCAATGACCATCTGCTATTCCTGCTTACATATAGCCTCTGAAGTGAGGTGCAGTTTGAAGGTATATAATCAGTCTTACAGATCTGTCACCTATGGAAACCTCATTCCAGGTATTTGTTATGCTTATTTGGTATTTACAATGAGCATGAGCTTGGGTGTGGTTTTAACACTTAGTGTGCAGTCTGTGGGTGCAGCTCAGGTTCCATTCATGACTGGAAAATTACTAAGTCCTTTTGAAGAAGAGTTTGTCTCTCTTGTTTCTGTCAAATTCCTTCCAGTGTAGTATTTAAAAGAATAGTTTTGCAGGTTCTTGGTGGTGTCTTGCTTCACTTGATGGGTTCATAGTGCTGAGATACAGAAATACAGCTCAGCTGAACCTTTGTGATCTGAACTAGACAGAGGACAGTAATATTCATTTTGAAGCACAAATCTCAACTGGGTGTTTGGAGAAAGGCTATTTAATACACTATGAAGGCCATATCTGACATCAGCCCAATGACTTCACTGTGATTTTATTTCTGCCATATGCATGTTAAGGCAGTAAATCCTGGCTTGGCTTACCCTCTACATCTGATCTATAAAAGTTGATGCAGAAATTGTGCAGACTTTGTAGTTGCACAGCCAAGTACAAAATCTGATGTAGTGATCTTGCGCAGTATTTAAAACTGGGCTTAAAGGGAATACAGTGTTTGTCAGAATCCTGTTTTCAGCTATTCTGTCACTGCAGGACTCCATCCTATAAAAACCTGAATCATTCACACGGAAAGTGCCCTGCCCTCAAAAGGAGGATGCTTTGAGACCAAAAGTTGCAACTTGCTACATGTCCACACCACTGCATAAGGACAAATAACTGTTGCCAAGATTACAAGACCATGTGACAAGGGCTACTAACTTACATACAGGACCAATACCACAGTAAATTGACGTAACACCTTGACAATGACAGTATGCCATCAGAGCTGTTTTACCTTTCGAAGCCTGTGTCTTGCTCTTGACCCTCCCTTATTGTCTTCTTCCTAGTTCCTATCTCTGTGTATCAGCTTTGCTGCTCCAGCTCATTCAGCCCCTTCACAGCATCCAGAATCAGCTCGTATTTGTATTCCTCCCTTTTGAGATATGTAAGTGGCAAGAAATCTCTTACATGATGCTGTCATCCATGCCCCCATAACATGCAACTACTGCTACTCATGACCTAAATGATATTCACTGTTTGTATAAATATTTCCTTTGCTCATACCTGGCTTTAAAATCTCTGCCACTGAAATGATGACAGGAATGCTTTAAAGTCCAGTTCCTCTGAAGGTCTTTCTCTGCATTTTAAGAGCTTGAACCTTTCCCTGAGGCTGATAATGAACTTATCAATATAGTTAGGAATCAAGAATACCATGTAGGAAAGTGACTCTCCTATGACACAAGCCATGTATCCTTTCAGTGGATAAGTGCAGATGTTTGAATTTAGGAAGTGATGTTCAGAGAGGTCCCATAAGGGACCAAGGGACAATTTAGCAGACCATGGTGTATTGTCATTATCATTTGTTATAAGCTTTTTGTGAAGGAAAAGAAATTTACACTCTTATTGTGTAGGCACACTGGATGCATGTTTTGAAAGGCTCCTCAGAATGAACAATTGGGGTGAGAAGTTGTGTACTCTACAATTCTCCCCCTGCAATAAGAGGGAGGACTGGTTACACTTAACTTGTGCTCTTTTATCCTTCCTCATTCTCCAGAATGACCAACAAGAAGGGAAGTTTTGGTGTTTGTAGTGAAAGCTGAGCACACCATAGTCTCAGCTGGAGGGAACTGAAAGCAGCCTGCCTGTTTGTGAGAGCATTTCAGTTAGCCACAGGTTTTCTAACCTCTCTTGGCAAATAGCTGGGCAGGTGCCTTTCAGAGAATGGCTGGTACTCAGTTATTTCGTATTTGAAGGACAAAACAATGTGGAAGTTGGGATAAAAGGGGACTTAACTGCACTTGTATTGCACTGTAATTCTAACATTGGAATGGCTGTTACGGATGGCACGGTTATGAGACAAATGGAGCCTTAGCATTGCTTATCTGGGTTAGATATCTGGAGCACGCTCCTGCCAGGTTATCTGCTAGTCTCAAGGTTCAAGCTAAAGTGAAACTATAGAGGGTTGGCTTTATAGCCTCATCCCTTTCAGCTGCTGTGTAACCCAAAAGGTTTTTTCTCTCCTTTTCTCCCACTGCTGTGCTTGCTGGTTTCATGTATGTCATCACTGGTCTGAAGCACTCCGCAGCAGCTAGAAGAAGGCTGCAGAAGGCAGTTTGCTCCCTGTCACTGAGTGTTCCCTCCCCCCAGACTTGGCTATTATTTATGCAACATGATCTAGCACAGAGTGGCTGGGAACCAATGGTCCAGAGTTCATTTCCAGTTATTATCGTAGTACAGAGTCAGTCTGGTTAGAGGTGCTCATTTCCAGCATAGAACATACACCATTTGAAAGCATAAACAAACTCTAAGTCAGTTTTACTTAACTTCATACACAAGTGTTACAGCTAAACAGGAATAGTAAGACGGAGTTGAAGCGCTTCAGACGTCCATGCTAAACTGAGTAAAGTCCCTTCCAGTAGAAAAGATGTACATGGAGGACTAAGCTCTAAAACACCAGTGGAAGTTTACCTTTTTAGTCTCTAGAGATATACTGAGGACAGTTCTTAGCTTTGTCTCAGTCCATGTTTGAACTGGGCTATGGCTGAATAGAACACATCAGGATTACTTGGCTGGGTTGGGACCAGATGTCAGTGGCCCCAGTAGATGTGGCTATTGGAGACTAATGGCGTGAGCAATTACACCTGCAGTCACACCCTTGTGGTGGTATGTGTGTGGGTGTTGCTGCTCTGGAGTTCAGGCATCCTACCTACACTAACCAGGCTAGTCATCTTAACTGCAATGCTCTTTTGTTTGCTTATTATCTAGGACACTACTAGGAATCCTTCACAGACAAGATCACCCAAGGCCCTAGCTTTGAAGGAAGGCATATTCAGAAGTTGTTGGCTTGCTCTCCTAGACTGGGGATTAAAGAAGCTGAACTAGGTGAATCATTACCCTCAGAATATGAACTTCTAGTATTGGGGTACTATCATGGGTGTCTGTACAGTCCCAACATCAGTGATCTGACTAACTACAGGCAGCACGGGAGCACTGAGTTAGTAAAGGTGCTTGGCTACTAGCAGTAAAGCCTCCTTCAGCTGTACTTTGCTGCATGCTAATGCAGATTTGAGGCAGAAATGACGCTTGGTACAGCTCAGTGTCTGTACCTGGAGATGAGACTACCTTAGGGTAATTCAGTGTCATTGCCTTGTCCCAGCTAGTAATCTGTGTGCTGCCCTGGGAAACAGAGGTCAGGCAGCTCATGGGAACAAACCAGTGTCATAGGCTGTTAAATTCAAAGGCAAAGTTTAATAGGGCAGCCACAGTGGGGAAGGGGAGCCTCTGAGCTGGACAAACAGGTCCCACTGGTTTCCAGACACTGTCCCAGCTGAGCAGAGCACCAAGACTGCGGGAGCTGGATCCTCTCAGGTAGGAGCAGCACCAGTACTTGGTAAGATCAAAGTTTAGCAAAGTTAAGGCTCCATCAAGTACCACTAGAGTGTTTGAGCTTTGTTTAGCAAGAGTCCATCAGAACAGTCACTAATTTAAGTTCTGTGCAGTTAATACTTAAGTTCCTCCTACAAAGCACCATTGATGTCATTAAATCAACAGTTTCTAACCCAAGATTAACAGCTTCACTTTGCTATAGTCTTTCCTTTGGGGAGACACCAGCTTGGATGTCATGTTCCCTATTTAGGGAACAGAGGTCATATCCTGCTTTGTCTCTGTAGAGGCAACTCCTACTCTTCCTGTTGCCTCGCTCTTTCTGTCCGTGTCCCTGCAGAATAGCAGGGGGAGTAGGAAGGAAGGAGAACGGGTCCAGCACAAAACTTCATTCAACACAGTCAAAGAAACCCAGCAACTAAACAGGAGTTTTAAAACAGAGCAAACCAGTAGAGCTTATGCACACAGCTCACCCCAGAAACTGCCAAACCAAATCAGGAAAAGGACAATCAATACATCCATCCTGCAACACCACTCTTCTGCTTCAGAGCATTCCCCTCCATCTCACATTAAACTCAAACTTCTTCACCTAGTCCTTCATTCTCATTACAATAACACTGACTGCTTCAGGGGGCGGTGCTGGAGTTTCAGAGAGGGCTTTTCTACCTGTAGTCCCCTGCAGGTAAGTCCCTCCTGTCCCTGCTGTGTTTTGGGGTGCTTGGCTATCCAGAATTCTGTTCTCTCTTGTTCCTGATTGCATGGAAGTAAATTTCTCAAAGTGTGGTATATCTCATGAATCATCAGCCTTCTGCAGCCAGCACAATGAAGGGAATACACTTCCACACTAGGAAACCAGGACTGCTTTGGAGAAGTGATTCTTCAGCTGAGGCTGCCTCAGGCACCACTGGAATTTGTGTTCATTGTGTTGTAACCTAACTGGGAGATGTGCTTACTCACTGTGTTGCGTGAGTGGAGGCCTGGGGATGCTTGACTGATGGGAGGCATGTCCTAAGGCTTGGTGCTCCTTCCCTACGTTGTCTTCAACTACACCTCACAGAAGATCTCCTGAGACTGATGATCCTGATCTTGAGAGAACAGGGAGGCAAACCTGAGGACACAGAAAGAGAGGGAATCAGAATGACAAGTTGTGTGGGTTTATGTGTTTGTTTTCTGAGAGCGAGCTGACTAAGGAAGCAAACTCAGTATGAATCCCCCTTACTACTGACAGGCCAGACCTAGAGGAAAGATAAAGAAAACTCATATAATCCATTGACTCCATTTTATTTTTCATTGCTTTAGGAGCCTTCTCCAGAGCCGAGCTGTGGGGGAGCTGCTTTCTGGTTGGCAGCTGAATCCCGGATATGCTTGCACAGATTTTTCATTCCTGTATTTCGTGCCTCAGCACATTGTCCATAGCGCTCTGGAAGTGTTCTGCAGAACTGATGAGCAAACTGAAACCCTCTGATCCCTGCTCCATGGCAGAACATACCAAAGATTTTCCCTTTTCCTCTTAAAAGCTGAAATAAGGAAGTTTGCTTTGTAGGTTCCAAGCATTTTGAACAGAGCAGGTTTAGCGCATTTTGTTCTTTCTGACAATCAGAAAGTGCAGTCTCATTGCAGCTTGTTAAAATAAAGCTGCTTTGCTGTTTTAAGACACTTTCAGAGATCGTGGCAAGTTGCCACATTCCAGTTAAGCAATTTCCTACAGTTGACATATTTAAAAACACCCCACGTGGTTTTCTCAGCCATCTCCCTCCTCCATTTGACTGCAAGGAGGAAAACAACAACAAAAGCACACCCAGCAAAACTGAACCACAACACAGAACCCCCGTCCCTGTACTTAAACACGTGAGGTGAGAATTCTCTGCAGGCCTTCTTCTATTTCTGGCCTTGTTACACTGGAGGAGTGTTGTAAGATTTACTCCCAGCGGGGTTTTATATCCCACCTAGCAGGAGGTGCAGTAGGGTACCAGTGGTGTTTAGAGTCTTCCACTGTACAGGTGTGGTGCTTCAGTTTTCAAAGCATCCTAAGGAAGTTAGCATTTTCAGTAATGCCCAACTTATTCATGTCCCTTTTGGAAAGGTCAAGATTAAACACTGCAAATGAGTCTAAAAACCCCATGAGTGATCTTTGTGTAACGACCAAGAGCTGGTTTGCTGCAGTGAAAAGTGTCAAAGCTTAAGGAATGAATTTGTATCCAGCACTCAAAACTGTCAGTTCACAGGCAGAAAGATACAACATAGAATCCCTTTGTCTTTCCCCTGCTCCTGAGGAGGGGAGGATTTCCAGTACAGAATAGCACACAGGCTTCTTACAATGGCTTTTTATTTTCCCTTAAGCAGTCATGGTTTTTTCTCATGTCTGGTTGCTGTCCCTCAGCAGCCCCTCCTCGGAGCAGAACTCCTGAAGCCCAAAGGCTGCTGGATTTACTCACCAGGTGATGATCAGAGATACTTTAAGACAAAAAGGATCTAACTAAGCACATGGAATGCGAAAGGGGTGATGAAGTGTTTTGAAGAGTGTTTCCGAAGGAGACTCTACAGCACAAAAAGTGAAAGATGTAAAACACTGCAAAGCTCAGCAGAGAAAGGGGATGGTGAGCAAGTCTATAGATCACTTTAGAAATGATTCTACAGGTTGATGCTCTGGGGTTGTTTTCTGACTGTTGGAGTGATCTGTGTGGAAGGGGTGGCAAATGAACTCCCTGGTCCAAAGATTTCTTCCCAATCCCCAGCTGAGGAGAAAACTCAGGCTCATGTTTCACATACACAAAATGCTTCAATTCTGATCCTGCGCTGGCACGTTTCCTTTTATTATACATTTAATGCAGGCTTCTATTGGAAAAATACAGTTTGAGAACTTTGATCTGTTTCCATAGAACCCTTTGAAAATGAGCAACCTACCTAACCCACTTCCATGGAGAAGCCTTGGTTTTCACTGAGTGACTGTGACAATACACTTCTCTTAAACAAAACCAAAGAAAAACCATCCCAAAGCCCAGCTCCTGCTCTGACGAGGCTCAGGGACAAATGTGCTGTGTGGAGCTTCTGTGGAAAGTCCCAGAAATAATGGATATTGTATCTGGCTTAAGGATCCTCAGCTTGGAGCTTGTCTTTGTGCATGTGTGTGATCATTTTTCAAGTGTTGATTAAAATCTTTCCTGGCTGCTCTATGATGCCAAATAGCTGTTGCAAGGCTGTCTGTTGTATGGCCAATTGTTGCTTATCAGTCTCCTGTGTATTCTTCCCCATACAACTGTTACCAGGTCAGCAGCTGTATTTTCCTTCACTTTCTAAATGGGCACGGCAATGTCTGGATGAAAGTCTCAGAGTCACAAACTGAAACTGTTCTTTTCTGGGTGGGAATCTGAGTTCAGGTGTCTCCACTCTAAATACCATTTCTATGCTTGAACTAATGACTGAAACCCCATGTGGCTGCTCTGGGCAAATGGTAATCAGCAAGACAGATTTCTGGGAGGACAGAATGTGAGCAGTGAGCCATGGCAGCTTTCTCAGGCAGTGTCTGTGAAAGGAGAAATGTGACCCCAGCCCTTGCCAAAATAGCTCCATTCTTTCTAGTGGAAAGCTAATAATTTGGATCATTTCAGAGAATAAGGTTTCTTAGTTGAGATTTCCCAGGGGGCAGAGACGTAACATCTTCAGCTCTGAGACCTGCAACCTGCTCCTGCACAGGCTTAAACTTTTCTGCCTAAGAGTCTCTTTCTGTCTGACTTTCTCTTCCCCAAAGCAGCAGGTTGGGGAAGTGTGTGTCAGAGTGAGGAGGGGAAGCTGGAACTCTTGAAGTGCTCAGGTAATCGAGTCAAAGAAGCAGAGGATTGGACTGTGTTTTGTTTTTTTCCCTTGGCCTAATAATAAGTCCGAGTCCTGTCGAGAACAAGCTGCTAATCCACCTCATTCCCCAGCCAGTTCCTGAGGGAATGGTAATGTGTTTTATTGAGGCTACACAAATAGAAACGTGGAAGACTGAAGGGAGATGGCTGGGAGGGCAGGGGAAGAGAAAAGAAAAACCCTTTTGGGATTAGGGACAGCATCTGGGCAGTAAACTGCTTCATTAAAGGAGCTCAGTTCCTTCAGAGTACTGCTACACATGCGATGTCCTGCCCCGTGGTTCCTCGCTGTCTCTGCTGGTGCTCAGTACCTTGCAGGATGAGGCTTGCAACGGGGAGGAAAGGGAAGCGCAAGAATGTGCCGGGGACCCAGCATTAGTCATTCCCTTCCTGACCTTGCAGAAGGAAATGTCTGGCTTTACATTTTTTGCTGTAAACTCTTGATTCTGTATTTGTGCTGTAAGTTCACACATGCACAGGCTGTTGGGTTCTTTGCCTCCCCCTCCAGACAACCAAATGTACTTGAGAGTTGTTTTACAGATGTGTGAGAACGATCAGTGCAGTCATAAAAATGATGGAGTATATGCTTTCTAAAGGCACTTTAAGTTTTAAATCTTACAAATATATCTGTGAGTTGTAACACAGCCCCGATGCCCAAAACATGACCTGCTGCTTCCTCCCCAGATTATGAACCTTTCATAATCTTTCTCCCTATCACTTGCTGCTCTCTGGCTGCAGTCACTGTAGATGGGAACGGAATGTGGGGTAGTTTTCTTTATGTGAGGAGAGATACAATGAATTTGCCAAGACATTAAATAACTATAGTTCTAGGGAGAAGCATAGTATTAGTGTTATCTCTGGGCTGCATTCACCTCTCTACAGCTTTATGGGCTAGCACAGCTGAATTGGACAAGTACTTGTTCACCTGCCATGATCCTTTGAGAAGCCTGGGTTGCATTAGCATCCGAGCATGGTCTAAACTCCTCCCTCTTCCCCAGCTGGGTGAAGAAGGGTTAGAGCACTGTGTATGCTCTAATGAACTAGGAACTGAGCCTTGAAGACTGTAAGATGTAGAACCATCAAAGCATGTAAGCTCCTAACTCACTATTGAAGTCTGCAGGGGCACTGCAGTGGTTTGCTTGGGAACGTGCAAGGCACGGGAAGAAGGGAAGGATCTGAGCTGAGGTTTCCCCAACTGTCCAGGGCTGATCTTTGCTTGCTGCATGGAGATAGAAGGTTTTGAGCTCCTGAGCCTCTGGATTTTTTCAGTGCTGTTACAATGTGGGTCAGTGTCTCAGCCAACAGAGAATCTCTGGAAGGGATCTCAGGAGATCCTTTTTGCTGTCTTGCCAAAGGCATGAGCCACTATGCCTAGTGCATTTCTGACAGATGCTTGTTAACTTATTGTTAAAGACCTTGGTTGAGGGCCAAGACTGTGTTGAACTAGGCTCTGTGAAGCCTCAGCTGCTGAGGACTAGGTTCCAGACTGATGGTGATTCTCTTCCAGATGGTCACTGGGTTTGCCTGAGCTCTTTTTGATCTGGCTGCGTGTGAATAAACACAAGATCTGGGGACCCTGTAGAAGGGATTGAATAGTGAGAACAGGAGGTGTGCTGTGCCTGGACAGAAGAGTTCTTCATAGCAGGGTAAACCCGTAAGCCTGTTAAATGGCACAGGCACTAATGTAACGAGTGGATGGGAAACCTTAACAGTTCTGTAGGCCAGCTTGGAGTAATGATATCCTTCAGTATATATGCTTTGTGCAAGAGAAAGAATTAGTCTTCCTGTGCTCCATATGGAAATGCAGTTAAGCCTAATGAAGCATGGCTGAGCTAAGGAAGCTAGATGGGTGCTGGAGAGATGTCTGAGCTGAGAGGAGGTTGAGCTGCAGATCTGATGTGGCAGCAGCAGGGTTGTGCTCAGCAAATGGTAAGTTCTCAGTCCTGCAGGGCCTCTCAATCATTCTGTTGCAGTTGCATGTCCTGAGGTTAAAAAGGAAGGGGGAGGGCTTTCCTTTTTTAGTGTTCAGTGGGTGTGAAATCTTTGATATTTAAGCAAAGGACTGTTCCTGTAGCTGCACTAGGCTTGGGTGCCTCTCTAGGATGAAATCCTTGAAGAGAATCGTTTTCAGGCACAGGGAACCACTTGCTTGTGCAGTTTCATCCTCCCACTCATGCTCTTCGCTGGGGAGGCCTCAGCTGAGTGTTTACAGCTCTCAGTTGCTGGGATTGTGAAAAGGAAAGAAGGGGAAAGAAAAGCA